GTTGACTTTGTGTTATATCCCGTGCTAATAGGAATATATACTTGAAAAATACGATGGATAAATAAGTAAAACCAGTACAATAAGAATAAAGGTCACAGTTCTGCACAAGGTTGTCGCAAGTCAATCCAGTAGTGAGTGCTACTATTGGAAGGTTGGTAGTTCTTGCGTAAGTCCGAGTCGTACTTAACAGATCCCAGCTAGACTCTGTAGTCCGTTGACTTACCAATACTTATAGGTAGTTACTACCTATAGTGTAATTACTCATGGGGGTGACAGGCTATTCCATTATATCACTTTGAAAATACGAAGAAAATAAAAATATTGATCAATTAAAATTAGCTTTCAGAGGGGAGGTAACTCCAAATGACATGCCAAGATAAGAGTAATTTAAAATGAAAATAAAAAAAATATATAATGAATTAATTATAAACTAAAATTTAAAAAAGAAAAATGTTTTTCCTCAGGAAATTTAGGAATTATTGATTATTCAGTACTTTTCTTTTATGCTCATCAACAACTTCTCCCCCACCCCAATTTAAATTTTTTGAAATTTTCTTTTTCTCTTGAAATATTTTCAGCTGAATTAAAAAAAAAAATGACAAGCATTTTTCCCCAGTTAGGTGTTTGTTTTTTTTATTTTAATAAAACCTGGTTAAAATTTTCAGTTTTTGAAGGATAAAGATGAAAATATAAAATGTATCAGTTTTGATAAAATTATTTGAATAAACATTGAAAATTAATAGAAATATAAATTATCTTTTCAATGATTTTTCCTGTTTTTCACAAAACAAGTCTAATTTTAAACATCAACAATAGTCAATCATTATGTGTATCCCTGATACCTTTCTTATATGGTACTAATGTCTTGATGGAACCTTTCCTTCAGTTTGCCATGGTAGTTTCCAAAATTCTTGGGGAAACAGTCAAGATGCAAGCTAAGAAAATATATTTTTATCAATATGCATACTCCAAGAGTTTTAAAACTTTACATCAGCTCTTCATCAAAACACTTTTATTCTGTACTTTATTAGTTTCCAAGAAACTTATTCCTGATTGAACTGAAGGCTTACTATACTTTCTTCTCAGTTTTCATTCATAAACCTTTTGAACTGAATATCTTTCATTAGATATCTGATTTGAAAGCTATATTTGAAAATAGCTTCATTTAATTTAGCATCACTGATGGATGCAAAGTCATATTTTATGAAAATACATGTTGGACTTTATTTATAGTTTTGATAACATTTTTCATCAATCTGAATTCGATATAAAGAAGTAAAAGTTGATAGGGATTAAATAGAGGTTTAGTAATCACTTGAGAAATGGTTTAAAAAGTTTATTGAAATCTCCATTCACATTTCTCATGGATTTTCATCTGCTTGACTTTTCCATAAACAAAGAAAATGTGTTTGGTATACCTTCCTTGCATACCTGGGATTAGGAATACAACTTGATAAAAAAATTGAATTGACTTTTGGAAAAACTGATTAATTTCCAATATTAAAACTGAATTTCTTTATTGAACAAAAACAGCAATTGTGTTTGTATGTCACGACAAGAGAAAAAAAAAATGAATTTATATTTCACCTTTAAATCTCTACAAATCTTCCATCGGTGATGATCATCTTTCAGAGAATAAAGTAACATTTTCATATTCTTACTAGCAGCCATACCCAGCTGGTCAATCAGAAAAAGTGTTCAATTAGAATGGAGCAAAAACAGCATCAGTTTAGATGTAACAGAGTCTATCTTCTTCAATTACTTTAAAGTACTTTCATTAAAAAACATTTTGAATTAATGCAGTTACTGATATAACAGAAGCAGTCTGTATTTATTCAATCGAAGTTAGCCAAGGACATGAAGGTGTAAAACAGGCAATGTAAAGACCCACTTCAGACCACAATTATTTTGGAGTTTTTGAAATTCAATTTGTCAGTAATGTAAAAGAGGATAGATTTATAAAGCAACTGTTAAGTTTGATGAAAATTGGTTGAAAGATCAACAAAAAATAAGAAAGAAACCAGTAAAAATTGCCATTTTTTGCTATTTACGTGGGTTTTTACTAGATGGAGGAACTCAATTATCAAGTTAAATGACTGTTAAACAATTAACTTATTGTCGCTACAGTTGGGTGAAGTTTGTATTAGATTGCTTGAAAATTGAGGGAGTTTTAGTTTAAGATTTTTCGTTTTTCATGGTTTTTTGCTAAACGCAGTAGCATAAAAATAAAAATGAGGTATTGTTGAACTTGATGTAAGTAACCTACATACCGAGTTTGAATGAAATCAGAGGAAAAAAATTGAATTTATCGATTTTTGATCAGCTTTATTGATTATTGTTTTTTTAAAAATTATCTATTTTTTACACCTATCTCTTACATTGTACAATGTATGTGCCAAGTTTGGTCAAAATTGGTGAGATGGATTTTGAGTGAAAAGGTATCACCCAGACATCCTGTTTTATATATTCTTATAACTCTAAGATAGTTGTACTGAATATGCCACAGGAACATAACCTACTTCATTGCTATTTTTAAAATTACATCTTTTAAGTTTCTACTTGAGGACTTTATGAAGAAGCTGTATTCTACAGGATTAGAAGCCAGATCCAATTAGTGCTCTAATAGTGGTGCAATATGCAAATAAAGCATTGTTGTGTAATGTGAGAAACTTGTAGCAGAACTTTTCAAATTTGTTGTGATAGCAGAAATATGTTATTTTCAGTGCAAGTAAATTTCTTTCATGAAGACCACAGCATATACGTCTAACCAACGTCTCCAGGTTAGGTTAGGGTCAGTTGGTCTTGATTCTGCTAATATTATTATCTTTATTTTATTTCCTTTGATTTCTGACCTAAGTTTAAAAATGGCATCATGACACTGTCCACTGACAAAAAAAAAAAGAAAAAAAAAACTTACATAGATAAAGCCCTTCGTAAGGTGTGGGCTGTACTTGTGAGAACAATTTTTTGTATTTCTTTAAGGCATGGGGTTCCAGGGATCCCTTCAATTAGTCTACTGGAATCTTTTCCAACCAATCTGAGGGGATTGATGTTCCCATGTGCCACATTTTTGAGATTTTGATTATTATTATTATTATTATTATTATTATTATTATTACACTATGATGAAAAGAAATGACCAAAAAAGATCAATCATCTCCGTTTTATTAAATTTTATAGAATCTGGATAAAATATTTGGGCAGTGAAAATATTTACATTTTTACAAATATGAGGCACGAACGAGATTAAATCATTTGAAATTTTATTAATAACTTCAACTGGAGGTATAGAAAATATACCCTCAATTAAAATTTTTTAATTGTTTTTTTTTAAATTTGAAGTTCAGAATGAATAAGAACATTTCCCATAATTTTCATTAGTGCTTTTCATTTTGATGATGCATTATCCAATATTAATTAGAGATCTCCTCTATTACTTCATGGCAGGTACTAATCTTAATCTGACAAAAGGTCACAGTATTTGAGAATTACCTCCTTCCCAATAAAAGTCAAATAGTACAACAGCTTAATATTGGTAGGGTGAGCATTCGTAACTAAAACACTGTGGTAGGAATCTCTTCCAGAGCAAAATATTTATAATTCATTTCTATTTTATCGAACATAAAATTTAGGTGATTTCTAATTTGATGTCAGTAAAGACAAAAGTAAGGAAAGCTACTCCCCTTGGGAGGGGGGGGGTATAAAATATGTATTAAATTATGTGCAAAAGTTCCCACCTGATAATAGTGTTTTATCTAAATATGGTGACTTATAAAACAGTTGTCTATTAATACAAGAAGAATCAGAGACATGTTGGAATTATCTGTCAAAAAGAAACAAATTCCAGTTTTTCAATTAACCTTTATCGAATTGGATCATTGATAACTTTAAAAGTCTACTTTTAAACTGTTTTAACACATTTTTATTAGTAATACCATTTAATGGTTTACTATTTAAAACTTATTCTACGGTTCCACCAGCACTGCCTCCACACAATCCTTAATATATACTGGAGTGACTTTGTCTCCAATATTGAAGTACTTGAAAAAGCGAAGATCACCAGCATTGAGACCATGCTGCTGAAGTCCCAGGTGTGTTGGGCTGGACATGTTTCCAGAATGGAGAATCATTGCCTGCTTAAAATTTTATTGTACAGCGAGCTCTCCACAGGCTATGGTGGCAGAGGGGTACCAAAGAAATAATTCAAAGATTGCCTGAAAAAATCCTTTGTTGCCTGTCACAACGGTCAACCCTCGCTGAGAACCATGATGCCTGGTGTCTCACCACCAACCATGCTGTCTACTTCTTTGAAAATACCTGCAGGGCCACTCTCAGGGACATGAGACAGAGGAGGAAGTACGGCAATGCTATGCCATCGAGCCCAGGCTAGAATTTTAGCTGCAACTACTTTGATCGTGTATGCCTGTCCTGTATTAGATTTACCAGTCACAAACGTGCCTGCAAGTGATGTGTACAGACTCCCTTGTGAAACAAAGCCATGATGATTTTAAACTTATTCTGTTTGAATATTTAAATTTTGTCTCATTAAGAAATTGTTGCTTATTTTCCAAGAATCACACAACCAAAGTGTGCTTACCTAGCTCTATACTCTGTAGAATTAGCAAAAAAATTTGCTTACAGAATGAAATATTTTTTTAAGGAAAATTTAGGTATGTGCAAAAGTTTTCAGAACAATAGTTTTCAGTCTAATTTTGAAAGTGCTGGGATTTTTTTCATACACATTAATACATATTTTATAATCCACCAAGTGAGAGAAAACTTTTTATTTCTTGACTTTACCAGCATAAAGGAAAGATTGACAAAATTTGTTTTGCCTAACACTGGTGGAATTATTTCAAAATAGAATTCACTTAGATACGATAAATTAAAAAATAACTGTGTGAGACAAAAAGATTTTTTAGAGAAGAAATTTACCTGAAATTGAAAACAAGCCATAAAAATATTTTCCAAAAAATATTGAAGAAACATTTTCCACTGACCAACTTGACTTCTCCAAGTCCCAGAAGTGCTCGTCCCAGTGTTTGATAGGCAGACCACCAATTTGGCTTCAATTTGGTTGCTTTTTCAGCAAACTGGACGGCTGGAAATACTTCTTGCAAAATGAGCAACACCTGTGCAATTAAATAAATGTCAAGAATGAAAATTCTTCACCAATGTAGAAAAATTGTGACAATATCAATATCATTTTTATTTCTTATAATCTGTTAACACTATTCAGTCCCACAACAAGGTAAGGTAAAAAGGTATAAACTCCTCACTTATTTGATTTGTTAAGAGCCATAAAAGAACAGCCACATATGTGGGTAAACAAAATATTTCAAAGAATTCAGCATGCTTATTTTGCACAATTCCAAATCATTTTTGGTCAAGTGTAGCACCTCGTGGCTGGACATTTGGCCGAACAGACATTTGGCCAATAGACATTTCAATGAAAAAGTATAAGTAAAAATATTAACAAGCAATACTTTAAGTATTTTAATTAGCAGTATTATAAGGTAGAATAGAACTAATAATTATCACTGAATTTAAAGTAATTAAATTACTAAATCTAAATTTAAAGTTAAAAATTTTCTTATTTCAATATTTGTTTATTGAAATTAGTATCTTTAAAAATATTTGAGTGTATTTGGATAAAAAGTAGCACCTAATTATTTAAATTTGTATTTAACACTAAGATAAAAGCTAGTACATCCCTTTAAGATAACGATCATGAAAAACGAAATTAAAAGATCTTTCTTATCGTAAAAGCTTTGATGTAGTAAAATGTACTTTTTTTCAAAATACTTATCATCTTACAGTAATATTTGAAGTAAAATATAATATATACAGTATAGATTTAAAAAAAAGCCTGTCAAAAACAATGAACGATTATAAATTAATACAGTAAATAAATATAAATATATGCAGCACATTATGATAAAAAGTGTGACATGTAAATACGCCACTATATTTTTGGCTAAATGTCCATTCGGTTAAATGTCCAAGTACTGTAGCAATTCTCTGCTTTCTAACAATAAAAAAGAAATTGAAATATCTTTGACATACAATGACTCAAAAAGAGAATCTCTAAAAATTATTTTTGTCTATGTCATTCACATTTTGTCTCTTTTATCTAAATGTTTTGTTTTTTGTTTTTATAATTCAAGTGAATTCTAAAAAATAGCAAATCAATCAAAATCTTTCTTGAATTTCTCAAGAGTGACATGTTTGTCTCATGTATAAAAGTGCAAATTCCTTTTCTTGATGTAATGATGATTTTCTAAGTGTAGCTTAGATGTGGCACAAGGCTGAAAGTGTGGGGTGCCCAGTAAGGATCAAACTCATTATTGTAATTGTTTTAGTGAGACAAGACATTACACCACATTTAGGTGCTCCTCCTCTTGATGTACTGCTTGGAATCATAATTTCAGATCCTATACAGAGTAATTTATTGGTTGTCTTGTGTTCATGAGAATTTGATTTAAATAGTTTCTCTTTCAAAGACAGTTTCATTTATACCAAACAAATCTCATTCAAAACCTGCAAGTAATGTTACTTTTAATCCTTTCAAGGATGGATAAAACACTTGGTTTTAAAAATGTTTCATTGAAATATTTTTCAAAATCCCTTTTACATGAAGACTTGTTCCAACTTTGCACTCTGATTTCCGTATTACCTTTAGTAATTTTTTTTTCACTTTATGTTTAATTTTTCTTTTTTTTTTTTTATTTTTGTATGGTATTTATTAATTTATAAAAATTAGAGACAGATTTAAAAAAAAAAAAATAGAAAGAATAGTCTTTGCTTAAAAGCAACAAAAGTTTATACTGAATCTTATTCATAAAATGGACTTTCATAAGCAGACACTTTAAACCAGACTAGTATTAGTTACATCTGTCTATATCTCTGAGATGAAGTATTATGATTATTTACATTATTCGGACTGTTATCCTGATCTTCATTGCCATATTCAAAACGTTTCATCCGTTGTACGCTATGGTCTTCTTCAGGTGATTAGAATTTCAAAATGAACGTTTTATTTTGTTCACTGGGATAAATTGTTCTAGTTCCACGTGCCATGCCTCTTCCGGATGTCTCAGTTATTTCCCTGAACCAAAACTTGGAGAGTTAAGTTGTGAATATGGCAATGAAGATGAGGATAACAGTCCGAATAATGTAAATAATGTAGTATTAGTTATCTCCTACAAAGTAAAAAAAAATGTAATATTTCCTACACTAGATATTGCAATTTATTTATCATGCTGAATTTATTTTATATAATAAATTAATTTATTTTACATACCTGGTTTATTTAACCTTTACAGCAAGGCAATCCTAAGAGAATTAGAAATCCTACCAGGATTTATTATTCGTGGGCACAATCTTAACAATGTAAGATATGCAGATGACACCATGTTGATGGCAGACACAGAAAGAAAACTGCAGGAACTCCTGCAGAAGGTAGTAAAGGAAAGTGTGAAGAAAGGACTAACTGTCAATTGTAAAAAGACAGAATGTATGGTTGTCAGCAAAAGGGACAGCCCAAGATACAAGCTACAAATTGGAGATGTCAAAATCAAGCAAATACAGACATTTAAATATCAGGGAAGCATTTTAACAGATGACGGAAGATGTGACACTGAAATCTGAAGGTGCATTGAAATAGTGAAAGATGCCTTCTAAAAGCTAAATAGAATATTAAGAAACAAGAAATTTTCATTAAAAACTAAGAAAAGAGTGCTGAATTGCTATGTAATATCGATCCTCCTTTGTGGCAGTAATTGCTGGACAATTTCTTCATAGATAAATAAATTTGCGGCAATAGAGACGTGGTTCTACAGAAGAATGCTGAGAATACCATGGATGGAGCATGTGAGCAATGAGGAAGTTTGAAGTAAAATGGAAACAAAAAAGACACATACTTAGAATCAGAAAGAGGCAAAAGTTTTGGGATATATAATGAGGAAAGAGAGTTCAGAGAATTTGACACATTGAAGGCAAGTGGGTCAAAAGGAAACAGTGACTAATGTATTTAGCAGGCTTGTGTAAATGGACAATGCAACAAGGATTGTTAAAATATATAAAGGATAGGAAGTTGTGGAGAGCCGTGATCACCCACATGAAGAGACATCGCATATAAAAAAGAAAAATATACTGAATTATTTTTCTTTTTGTAAAATTTTCAAAATTACGAATATTCATTAAGTACATCTTTAAAACAAACTCAATTAAATCAGTACCAATTATTAACTTGAATACATCGGATTGAGAAATTGGAGAGCTGAGTTCAAATTTCAGTCGAATCTATTATATTCACTTATGTGCTAATAACCTTGAGAAAGGTATTAATCCTCTTCTCCCTCCAGTTATGGGTAAATAGCAGGACAGACTGGGTTCTATAGCTTTGGATGGCAACTGGTCTAGGAGAAGAACAACTCTGAATTCAAAACCTGTGGAGAGTCGTTTGGAGACCATGTGGGACGTAGTGCACCAGGTCTCTTTGGCTCTTCAAAAAGTGTGGTTGGTTGTGCACAAAGCCTTCACCACTATAATTAAATTATATGTGCTGGTATCTGGTTGTCGGTTCCTAGGAACTGAGCTGCTTGACCCTCATACGTCGAATACGACAGGAGAGTCCATATATATATATATATATATATATATATATATTTATGCATGTTTCATTAAATAATACAGACAAGTTTTGTCTATTTATTTTATGCAAATTCTTTTCATATCGTCTGATAAGCTTAATAACATTATCATTAAGATGAAAGAAAATCACCATATTGATACATATTTTTTTAATCCTATCTCAGCTTTCGGCTTACATAAGCTATTATCAAAGATGACAATTACATTACAATATATTCAACAATATATATATATGGTGATTTTCTTTCGTCTTTTAATTATAATGTTATTAAGCTTATCAGACAACGTGAAAAGTATTTACATAAAATAAGCAGAGAAAACTTGCCTATATTATTTAATGAAACATGCATAAATAAAAAAATACTGCCTAAATACACACAATTTAAATTACATGATCCAGCAGCCCACCAAATTATCAACACTTGGAATTATAAATGTAGCCTTGTGAAAAGACAAATTGAAATAGGTGAAGAAAAATTGAACACCTTTAACAGCAACAAATAGGACATCTATGATGTTGCTTGGAAATCTTCTATGCAAACAAAAACAGACTATCATTATTGTTTTGTCCATGTATTGTTGAATATATTGTAATGTAATTGTCATTTTTGATAATAGCTTATGTAAGAGCTACCATTCGCCTCCGGACAGCTGGCCACGTTGATGTCCGCAGGTAAAGTACTGATGTTTGAGGTAAAACTCAGTGGATCCGACTTTAAATACATCACTCGCGCACCATCTTCAGAGTCACTTTCATCATCTGATGACGGTTTTAACCCTACAACTGGCCACAAGTCTTTAACATGATGAGGCACGCCATCAACCCGCACTGACTGCGGGCTGATAATCTCGGTAACATGCCCCATTCTAAGCTTGTCCGTACACTTGCTGTGCGGGGTCTTAACCCACACTACGTCACCAATTCTGCCGACACATAGGCACACCGGAACTGAAGCCGCACACCCCACTTCTTTATGAACTGTGAGAATTGCTCTGAAGAAAACGCCGCACCATTATCTGTCAGTATTTCTGCAGGTGGTCCCGGGTCGTAAAAGATGGACTCCAATTGACGTATTATGCTGGCAGTGTCCTGCTGGTGCAGTAGTCGCCAAATGGCGAAGTGAGAGGGTCCACAGTCAATAATAGTCAAATAGTGCTGGCTCACGCCTCACACCTCTGCACTACTGTCCTAACATCCGTCTTTTTGACTGCCGGGTCGACCATCTTCGAGAAGTAGAGCGTCCGTTTAATCCCAGGATGCCCACACTGTTCATGTATGCTCATGGTCCGCTCGAGGTCCATACTGAGCGCAGAAGTCGTACATGGCAGCTGCAGAGGTTAAGACTCTTTCCGAGCAGCAGCCAACCAATGTTGTGGAATGCGAGTCAACGCATCTGCCCTGTTGACTGCCGATTTAACTAACACTACATCCACAGACAGGTTGTACTCTTTGATAGTTTGGTGAGCCGCCTTCGTA